ATATCAGAATGATTTCTGAGGGATCATGTGACACTGAAGACTAGAGTAATGATGCTGAAAATTCAGATTTGATCACAGAAATAAATTACATTTCAAAACATATTTAAATAGAAAACAGTTATTTTAAATTAAAATAATATTTCACAATTTTACAGCTTTTACTGCATTTTTTATTAAATAAATGCAGCTTTGATGAGCATAACAGACTTAAAAAAAAATATATATATAAAAAAAAATCTTTCTTTCTGTTGATAAAGTGTCATTTCAGTGCCACTAGCAGCAGCAAACAGAAACATCAGCTCAACCAATGGTGTGCATTGGGGGCGGAGCTTCCCGTCTGGCTGTTTGATGTTTCTTGTGTAAAACATTAAATGAGAGCGAGTAAAGTGCAGTTTTCACAGTTCTTTGTGGGCAGAGTTTATAAGTGTGTTTCATGTGGCGGCATTCTTGTGTGGTTACTAGGCAACCGTCGCATTTCTGCACTGTTTAGTGTGTATTTCTGTGCGGGCAGCGTTCCCAGTGGGGTCATTAAAACTGTCATCCCACCACATTAGAAGAAAGCAGAACCAGTGCGCTCAGAACCAAAGGTTCCTCATTATGAAAAGAGCATCTCGGCAGGGACGACCCCAATGAGCCTGGGCCATTTGTTGATGGTGTACATGCACAAACTTTTGTTGTGATGCATTGCTGCTCCGGGCTGGATTGTGTCTTCTTTGTCAAGCACTATATTTCATGCTCCTGTGTTTGCTGCGAGCAGCTGCTCTGTGCTTTGGACAGGATTGATGACACAGGCTGTGCAACCATTTCGCTGCACCAGATTTATACTGGCTAAATCCAATATTAGCCCTCGCAGGACAGGGCCGCGTCAGACGGGAAAGAGCGCGCGGATCAATCGTCTGTCTCTCGTCCCTCAATCTCGTCTTTCAGACAAACGGCTGTGTGACGGGCTGTTGTGCGCTGGGGAATGATGATGCTGAGATGTGTGTGTGTGTCGGTTGTCTGGAGAATCTCCTTCCTCACTTCAGACACATTTGACTTCCCCGAACCTCTGAACCAGAGCAAAAGCAGACTTGATCTTTACAATGAAGAACCTCTCTGACCTAAATGAACAGCAGCTTTATTAAATAAATTATTATAATAAAATATTTTAATATTATGCCAATTATTTTTATTATAAGAATGAATGGATAAACAAAAAATTTATCTTTATTTAGAAAATTTAAATATATTTTAAGATTTTTAATATATATTTTTAAGATTTTCAGACTTTTACCATTCAAATATTTGGGATCAGTAAGATTTCTTCTTCTTTTTTAAAATGATACTTTAATTCATCAAGAACAAATCAAATTAATCAAAATTGACAGTAAAGACTTTTATAATAATAATAATATGGCAATTATTTTTATGATAAGAATTAATTAATAAATAAATAAATAAAGGATAAACAAACAAAAAATGTATCTTTATTTAGAAAATGTAAATAAAATCTAAATATATTTTAAGAGTTTTCAAAATGTACACTACCACTCAAACATCAGTATTTTTTTTTTTTATTGATACTCTTATTCAGCAAGGACAATCAAATTAATCAAAATTGACAGTAAGGACTTTTATAATAATACAAAAGATTTATATTTCAAATAAATGCTGTTTATGTGAACTTTCTTCTCATCAATGGAAAATATGATGTTTTCTACAAAAAATATTATAAGCAGCACAATTGTTTTCAACACAATAATGTTAAGTTGTTTCTTGAGCAGCAAATCAGCAAATTATAGTAATGATGCTGACAATTCACCTTTGTATCAGAGTAATCAATTACATTTTAAAATATGTTCAAATAGAAAACAGTAATAATATTTCACAATTTTATAGTTTTTCCTGTATTTTTGTTCAAATAAATGCAGCCTTAGTGAACATAAGAGACAAGAGCAAGGAGTTTTGCATTGCTTGGTCAAAAATGCAAAGAAAAAATAGCAACTTTTAGCTAAAAGCACTTGCGAGGAAAAACATCTGTATTGATTTTTAGCTTTGCTCTGGATGTTAACCATGTTTGAGTCTTGAGATCGCTTTTGTTGTTGAACAGAATCACTCTGTTTCAGTGACACCAAGATCGACTGGGGAAAATGTGCAGTTTCAGTCAGGCTTCGTTCACACAAACTCAATTTGTTCTTCAAATCTGATCTTTAGGACTGGCTGTCCGTGAGGGACAAAATCTGACCCGTTTGTTAAGACTGAGTCGTCAGTGTTGAGTTGTTGGCAAAAGCATGTCAACAAGAGACAGTGGCAGCCAGTGTGGAACGAGAGGACGGAAAACTGGGATGTCCATCATGACATTTCACTGTGGTACTAAACTTATGAAGCCTCACAAAATAGAGAGACGCCTGTACTACTATTACTAAAAAGATGAGAGACGGGCATGCCAAAAACATCATATTTTTGAACAAGGCCTAATGGAACAAATGGAGAACAGCTTCTTGGTTGTTTAGTTATTTGTTTATTTACCTTCTGGATGATGCAAAAGAGAAATGGGCTGGTGCGCTGGGAGAGAAGGTCCTAGGACTGTCCAGCGGACTGCTTCCTGTGAGACAGACAGAGAGAACTACACTGAATGTGTGTGTATCTCAGAGGTGCAGCTCATGTGATCAGTGAGGAGTGCTCTGCTCACCGATGTGTCCCGGCAGAGGAGAGTGAGGCCGGGGAAGAGTGGGAGACGTACTGGTCAAGATCAGGCTCTTGCGGTTACTGGTGCGACAACTGAAAACCAAACAAACAATCACACATTCAACATGAGATCGTAAAGAAAATGGCTAGTGATTTGCTTGTATCTAACTACCAAAAACAAAATCTTTTTTATAGCTTTTTTTTGTTGTTGTTGTTTTCGTTTTTAACGAAAATCTGTTAAAATCATGTTACTTATATATTACTCTTTGCTAAAAAAATTTAAAAAAATTATATAATATTGGGCACCGACTTATTTGTCACATCACTTTATCTAAATGCATAATCGTAAATAAATGTAAATATATGTATATATTTATGCACATTATATATTATATTGTTTACAACGCCGACAACCTCCGCAGGACAAATCAGCATAGGGATTGGCTGGTTAAGGCTTCATCACATCCAATAAAACTCCCTAAGACACAGCTGTGGATGACAGCTCGCTTAATGACATGATGCAATAACCGGAAAGTTTATTTGCATAGAGTGAACAACTTGCTCATCACACCTGATCTAAGCGTGTGTGTGTGTGTGTGTGTGTGTGTGTTCATACTGATTAAAAACTCGAGTGATCTTCACATTTTTCCCCATTGCTCTCCTCCCGTCTGATCATGTTTTCTGTCTCTTGTTCTCTTGCTTTGCTTTCATCTGTTTCTTGTAGATCCTCAAGCTGCATGTTGCCCTATAGATTCCCATCTACAAGTGTGTGTGTGTGTGTGTGTGTGTGTGTGTGTAACAGAAAAACACTAAAAATATGCACAAACACATGGTGAATCCAGGTCATTTTTAGCCCTGGAATCAAAGGAAATAAATAAGAAATATTATTATTCTTAAAGAAAATAAAAAAAAAAATTTCTGTTTGAGTGTTTTTTCTCACTCTGACAGTATTCTGACAAACATGCCAATACTCTCAATATAGAAATTACAAATTGTAGTCCATTACTGATTACTAATTACATGACGGAAATTGTAGTTTGTAACACAATCTATTAGATTACGCATATTTGGTCATTTATTCTGACTACTGTTTAATTACTTTTAGATTACTTTTGACCTAAAAAAAATCTACCCCATTCTTTATTAAAATCATAAAGTGTATTAAAAATTACATTACTCTAGAGTTTCCCAAACTGGGGGTTGTGAATAAACGGCAGGGGGTTTGTGAGTTGATAAAATCATAAAAAATGTTAAACAAATTAACTCATTTTAAAATAAAAACAATAAAAAACAACACTCAAACAGAAAAAAAAAATTATGTGTTTTAATTTTAAGCGAGAAAAAGGAAGAATAATTTGGGTGAATAAATAAATTATGAATAATTTACTGCCATTGTGTGAATATGTAATGTAATTAAAAACAATTAACTGTTGTCTATTTAAATATCATGGAAGTAATTGTTGTACAGCCATTCATTTTAAAAATTCACATTACTATGATGCATAAAAATATTTACTTTTTAGCACATCTTTATAACACCATATATTGGAAAATTTTTCTAAATCATTAATCAAACTGTAATAGTTAAAATCTATTCTTAAATGAGATTTCAACATTTTGACAAATACAAACACAGCATTATCATTTGTGGATCCTTCCACCTTATTTCGTCTAATCATATACACATCCATCTTTGCCCTTCCCAAAATGAAATTGAAAAGCTGACATTGCTCTCTCTTTCTCATAGATAGATAGATAGATAGATAGATAGATAGAGAGAGAGAGAGAGATAGATAGATAGATAGATAGATAGACAGATTAAAGTATGCACAGTTTCAGCATTCAAATGAAAACTGATGTTCTTGAGTCTAATTCTCACAAAATCCCACAATAAATGTTCAGTATTCACTTCAAAAGGAGAATATCTTAAGAAAATAGGACAAAACATGAGGGGAAGAGGTGGAACTAAAAATACACATCTGAAAATTGCAGCAGTTGTCAGACCGAATGCGATTCTCTCCTCGGCTTCTTTCTTATCATGAAGAGCCTAACGCGCTGTGACAAGAAATCACATTGTAGCAGGACAGATAGAGCGTGTGCATTGTGAAATATTTAACAGAAGTGCATTAGCATCAGACTGCAGGAAGCAGTAAGTAATGTGTGAGAGAGACAGCAGCCCAGCGGAGATAAAACAGCTAATTGTCCTCCACCTTTCCTTCTTGTCGT